ATGTTTGTTCCTAGAGCAGTAAATGTCGGAGCTCCTGGGGCAGGCAGAGGGGTTGGGGCGGAAGGGGCATGTCTCGGCAAACCTCCCCTGTCACCGGTCCTTCATGGAGCTTGTGGCAAGAGTTTGGCTGGAAAGCGTGGGTTTTGCGCGGCAGCTGCGTGCAGCTGAAAGGAAGCCCCTCTCCCCATCCCTCGGGAGCAGGACCCATTCAGGGCATCGTGGCTGTGTCTGAAGTCAGAGCTGTCTGAAGGCGTTCTGCTCCAGGCCCGGGGTCCCCTGGGAGGAGAAGGGCCTGGTGAGGAAGAGCCCTGCGAAGCAGCCATGCCTGTGGTGCCTGGAGGGGAAAACTGGGAGCTGATTCCCTGGGGAAGCACAGAGCCCAGGAGTTGGGTCTTAACGTTACCCGTCCATATCCATCACCACGTCGGTGGGCTAACAGGCAGAAGCGGTCAGACGATGACAAAATTTCCTTATAAAAGAGAAACATCGGCGTAAAACTAGTCACGTTCCCCACTCTGCTGGAGATTGCCAGGTTTTTGCGAAGTAAAGCTGTCTGCGTTTTGGTGTTTCTTTTGGGTACACCTTTCTTTTACATCAGGTTATCCTGTTTATCTGCTGAGGTTTGATGCATTTGGGACATACAGGCCAAACTATCACGGTTTTGGTCTGCTGTCGTCCATACGCAGGCAGGGTCGGTTTTGTTTTAACCTGCTCAGCTGGAGATTTACAGCTGCGACATTACTGGTTGTGCACGGCCACTGCTGTGCGTCTGTGGTGCACCAGTGGCCCTGTCCCAGTCACTGGACTGCGTGTTTGTGTACAGTGAAGCAGTTTTGTTTTTGCAGGTCCGTAAATCTCACCAATGATGCTAACACAATCATTCTTGCTTTCTATTAAAGCAAACCCCTAGACAAATCGAGACCCAACCCAAAGAAATCCCAGCTCTGAACAGGCAGTTTCTTCCCAGGTATGTTTTGAAGAACCCCAGTATGAACATGACTAGAACAACACTTGGCACGCAGTATTTGCAGAGCAATAATGTTAAAGGTAT